TATATATATATATATAATATATATATAATTTTCTTGACCATAAAGTGAGAACATAAATAATCTGTCATGAGTAAAGGGTGTAAAAACAGCACATGTAGAGATCTATTAACACTTGATTTTTAAGTGTTACATTTTAATTATAAAACTACTAAATTAAAAGTTTCTTACCTGATTTTATGCAATCTGATGACTTGCAGATACCATCTAGAAAAACAGGGGCAGATGCATAAATATTTGCAATACAGGTTTTCTAATTTCTTTTTTTCTTTAAAAACTACCAAATAAATAAGCAACTGCTTAAAGTGAGAACCAAAATCTAAATGTTATATATCACTATCAGTAGTTAGAAAACACAGGGGAATAAAATAGGCAAATCTTAGATTTGTCTTTGATTATGAAACTATTGCTATCATTGCTACAAAATGGGCCCCAGGCCTTTTAAAATGAAATAATCAGTTGTTTCAGCCACCATTTAGTCATCACTGTTGCGTATTAAAGAGCCAATCTTTACTAATCCCTACTGTGATAACTTCTAAGACTCCAATTAGACTTTTTAAATTCCTGTGAAGCTTCTTAGAATTTCAGTGACACAGCAAAAAATTGCCTAATGACTATTACTGAAGTTGGCTATAAAATTGTACCTATTTTAATCAAATAAAATTACACATTAGCATCCTCTTAAAATAAACATGAGCGCAGTAAACATCCTTGGCAATTAATAACTTCACTCCAACATAAAAGACATTGAACTTTAGTCAACACTCACTGCTCTGATATACATTTTGTTTGAATCTTTGTGTCATTCCTGTGTCTCCATCCCTAACGTATTTGTCAGGTGGGCAGTAAAAGGATGAGATGAAGATCTCCTCCTCCTTTGCACTGCTGACTACACAGGTATGGGAGGAACTCACCATCGTACGTTGCATAGAGAGCTATCATGGTCACAGCTATGACAGTAAGGAGCAGGACGAGGACGGAGAGGCTGATCTCCAGAGGAGTCCATTGCTGTTTCTTCTTTGGCTTTGGAGTGTTTATATCAGTTATATCCATCTGACTTTCCGATCTTCCCATCACCTAAAATCTGCAAAAAATAAAAATAAAATACGAATAACAACAAATACATGGATAAAAAGAAAATCTCTACCTAATTTTACAAAAACTTCACGTGCTGGATCAAAGTAAAAAGTTAATTATTTTAAATAAAAATAAAACTCTTTTGCTGAAAAGTCAAAATTTTGACACTGAAAGCAAAAAGTTACAGAGCCATAAGAATTAGACAGGTCTCAGTCACAAATTTTGTTTTCTTTTTTGATATATCCCTGAAGATCCCAACAAAATTAAATGAAAGGTTTGGTTAGACACTCATATAGTGTTACCTCACAAGTTTATGAGCAAGTAATTGCTGTATTATCATTAAGAAAGTTTTACACTCACCCTTCTGAACTTTGAACTGATGTTGATGGTTAATCTTGCACATTGCTTTATAGTTTGTAAACTCAAAAATCAGTGACTAATACATTGAGGGTTTGAATAAGCAATAATTTGAAACATAACTACAAAAAAAACCCCAAAAGAATAAATATTTGAGGTAGTTTATTTCAGTTGTAAAAACATTTATTTTTAAAGCTCAAGATGATTATTCTTGCTGACAGAGTATCTACTAACCGGTTAGACAACATTCTGAAAATGATCATTCATGGAATCAAAAGTCACTGATTTACACCTTGCAGTGAAAATGTTACCTGCATCAATGTTTGTGCAATTTAAAGAGGAAAACCAATTTTGATTAGAAAAAAAACTCTTATCTTCCAGGTCAAGGTATCAATTGTTAATGTATGTAACTAAATTCATAATATTAGAACTTCTCTTATCATAGCTAACATTTACTGAGTTATCTCCATGTGCCAGTCACAGCTCTTAATGATTTACATATGCTAATTTATCTAGCTTTTCTTAGCATATAGCAAGATTCCATTTCTATACTGTAGAAATGCGGGTACAGAGAAACCAGGTAATTGGCCAAAGCCTGCACAAACATACAAATGTAACTGTATCATCATGCATTAAAAGCAATTTTATTACAGAAATTTAGGGTAGAAAATTAAGGGGACACAGCCAAAATATTAAATTTCATAGCTTCTTTTAAGGCCTAGTGATTCTTTGTAATACATTTACCAAAGCTTTAAAATAAAAAAAAAAAACTTCAGTTTTTCTGTAGGACAGTACAAAAACATCGCAACTAAAAAAACAGATTAGTTCTTTATGGTGCAACACAAATTAATCAAGGAATTTTGTTTTTAGATGAAGAAACTGCTCAGACATGCACTCATAGCTAAAAACATCTTTGTTGAATGCACGTGATTCCCCGAAAATGTGTTTTGTGGAAACCAAGGCACCAGACAAAGTAGAAAAAGACTCTATACTCGAAGTGTGATCTGGGATATCCAGCATTTTTTCTTTCCAGTAAGTTATTAATAAGTCAACCATAACTGGACTTTAAGGTACTAGATACAAAGTCTTAAGCACGTTGGCCTCTTGACTGCATAATCCTAGGAGCAAGGACAGACTATCAAGTAAAAACATTTCATTGGATGGTGAAAACTGTATCTACTCAATAAACGTACATAATTGCTAAAATGCCTTATTTAATGGTTATGTAACTCATGTTAACTTAGTCTGCCAGCCCCTTGAGTTATGCTATAGAATTGCATTGATTGTATTCCTTTTTTAAGTAGAGTTGGTGGTTGGGTAAATGACAGATAATAACAAATTTAATATTCTGGACACTTTACAGAGAAACAATAAAATGAATAATTTTCTCAGTCCCCTTAGATTTTGAGACTGATCTTTAAAACATAAAATATTAATGACATTTGCTTGAGTATTTCCCTGAAAAATGCCTTCCCTTGCTCCAATAATTTTAGGAAATAATCCAGAGAAATATTTTACTGGCATAAAATTGCACCTCTTCTTTTTAAAAGTTCTTTCTTAGGAATTTCAACTAGTGTGTATAAAGTAAAACTTAGGACTGGGTAAGGAGAGCAGCTGTAGGGCTAAATTAGAGGTGCTCTGTGGCACTGTTGTAAGCCACTGAGTGAACATTTCTTTTTTTCTTCTGGGTACAATTTCCTGGCTTCCCCTCCTCATCCTTGAGAGGAGAGAGGTAAGGCAGCTGCATGAATAGTCATGAAAAATTAAGGCAATGGCTAAAGCTGTTTAGTTCTTTTACCTGCAGCAAAACAATATTATCTCTGAATTACTGTGGACCCTCAAGTTACAACCCGCCTGACATGGGAACAACTTGGGTTAATTAGGTTAATGGAAGATTCATCTGCCTCTTGTTATCTACAGCATATAGCCAGGTAAACATGCAGATCTTGACTGTATTGACTTACAACCAACCTGAGTTACAACCAGCCCTTGGGAACCAACTAAGTTCATAAATTAAGGGTCCACTGTACCTGCAAAGTCTTTTTCCACCTTCTGATTTTCTAAATACTTTGCAAATTCTCTAAAGAAGTATTTTTGCCCCTAAATAGATCTTTTCAATAGTGTCAAAAAGCAGAAATGCCATAAGTTGAACTTCCTAGTTAACTTTATCATTCATTTCCTAGATGACTCATCATTTTCTTCGAAGGGGTCAGGAAGCCTGGCTTAGTGGTACACGCCTGTAATCCCAGCCCTTGGGAGGCTGAGGCAGGAGGATCACTAGGAGTTAAAGGCCAGTCTGGCCTACACAGTGAGCTCTATAACAAAACCTTGTCTCTAGGAAGGAAGGGAGGGAGGGAGGGAAAAGAAAAGAAAGAAAAAGAGAAAGAAGGGTGGAAGGAAGGAAGGAAGGCGGGAAAGAGAAAAAGGAAAATGGAGCGGTCGGAATATTGAACTTGAAGATGGAACATGGTTCCCACCCTGTTACATAGCCAATTCAACCACACACATCCAGCTTTAGGAGGGGGCAGGAGAATAAGGGGACAAGAAAACAATAGAATAAGGAATACAAAAGAATTATAAGGTCCATACTTTTAAGTCTCACATAAATCAGTATATTGAAAAACATCCCTACATTCTTAACATAGTTAACCTCAACTGGGGATACGTTAAAAAGCTTACACTCGAAAGTAGATAGCATCACAGAAGGGAACAGAGTCAGGGGGCCTAGCCTAACAAAAACTCTGCAAACTTCAACCTACCATCACCACCAGAAGACTGAGGTATTATTTTGTTTGAATGTAAGCTGAATTTAAAAGTAATATGAAGCAGCAATTCTTCTATCAGTTGAGCATAAACTTGGTCACTTTATCAGATTGTCAAATCATGAAGCCGGAAAGGCATGCGATTTGTTACAGGGAAAGTGGAGCCTAAGCAGTTTTCATCTTCTCAGTATGTTACAATACTAACTTCTTTGTACAAGTCTCTGAGATTGTGCCGTGTAATTACAGTGTGCGTAATGGAAACTGAGGCTCAGAAAGGCAAAGCAGGCTACCTGTGAGTCTGTGTCTGCAGAAACTGGGGAGGAAGGGGCTAAAGAGAAATCGTCTTGTTCCCGGACCTCAGCAGATGTTTCTCCAGTCTGAAGGAAGTACGGAGCTCTGGCCACAGACTCCGGGCTATAATTACTCCCAAGTCCCAGCATGGAGCCCAGGAAACTACTGAATAATTTTTGCTAAAAGCTAGAATCCAGCAAAAACACAGGGGAGGGAAGCTACACACACGCCCTCAGAGCCTATTTGCCCAGTAGCTGCTTCCAAACGCTGACGCTGCAAGTCAGGTACTAGTTTTCCCTTTACTAAAATTGCCGTTTGAATCATTTATGGGAGAGAAATAGATTTGATCGAGAGGCTGGAAGGGATGCTCAGGTGCAAGTGCCCTTCTTTTTAAACAGTGCAAATAGCCTGACATCGGTTAAGCAAGGAAAGGGTCTTAATAAAACACACACGAAAAACTTCCGTTTACACGAGAACACCCCCAAGCCGCGCCAACCAACCCTGGTGCGATTTAAGCATAAATTATATAATAGGAAATCAAGGTTCCAAGCACAAGGAAGAGGTGGGATCACGAGAAGGTCTTCAGGTTAAGAAAAGTAAAAATAGAAAAGTGAGTTAAACGAGGAAAAAAACCCGACAGAAACCAAAATGAAAACAAACCTTGCTTTAAAAGCACCCAGTGTCTGTACAGCGGAATGGCAAATGCCCAGCCCCCAAATCAACCCCGGTGCAATTTGGTAGCGCAGATTTCGGGAACCAAACCTAACTCCCTGGGCAGAGGCTGCAGGGAGCTGTGGAAAGAGCCGGGAGAGGCGCCCTGACCTCTCTCAGAGCCC